AAGTTTTGAATAGTAATTTTTTGAAAAATATGTGATTGAGAGGAATGAACAAGTTTTGGGTTTATGTACAAAATACTTTATTGTAGAAATATGTGATTAAAAATGAGTATGAGAGAAAACTGATTTTGAGGACCCGTTTCGAAGGGATTCCATTATTGTTTATGCTTCTTGTAGAAGGTAGAAGAGTTTTCTGAGAAAATTAAGTTAGTTTGCACTAAAAGTTTTTCTAGTAAGATAAAACACTTTCATAAAATTATTCAAATAAATTCAAAAACAATTTCTTAATTTAAAAAACAGTTTTTAACCTTTTAAAACCCATGTCCGACTGGCCCTAAATCAATTTTTAACAATTAAAAGCATCTCCAAAATTTTCTCTAGTTTTAAAGAGTATATTCTACAATTTAGAGAGTAAAAAATTTGAAGTACTTATACGGGCTTTTTATATTTAACATTTAAAAAAATATTTTTTTCTATCTTTTATTTTCACTAGTTTTCCTCTAAATTATTGTATTATTTTCCCTATTGAAAATTGAAATAATTTGAAAGCATTAAATTATAGAGAGTAAGTTGGCTCTTCAAACTCACTCTCTGAATTAAAATGTTACTTTAAAGAGTTTTTTTTTTAGCATAGTTTTAAGGATTGATTTTAAAAAAAAGAGAACTTATATTTAAAAAGTCTTTTGAAGATATTCTAAAAAGTATTTAATTCTACAAAAGGAAAAATGCATAATTACAAAGATTTCAAGGTACGCTTCCAAAAATAAGAAACTTGAGAAAAAGTTTCAAAAATCAAGTGGTAGCATTTATAACAATTTTGTGACTTATTAATTGATTAAACATGTCAATGTCACAATAATACATAATTTATGGTCACAGTCATAAGTCGCATAAGACCACAATCACAAGACACATATTGTGAGTAGGGCTGAACATTATCCGATTCGGTTCGGTAGATAACCGAACTAAACTCTAATTTTCGGGTATTTAGTAAATGGAACCGTTAGGTCTAAATTTAAAAATGGAACAATTCGGGTTCAGTTCTATTCGGTTCGGACTATTTGAATTCGGGGTTCATACAATAATTTTTTTTATATTACAACAACGCTACATTAATTCGATTATGACGTGTTCAATTTTAACTCTTACAAAATAACGTAGTCCAATCTCGTGATATCTTTTGCACATATCTTTGTTTAGTTCTTTATAGATTTGACCGTTAAAATCACAGGTAGAAGAAGATGAAGATGACTGGTTCACAATAATAGAACGATATAAATGACACTACAGTATAATAAGATATTTGGGTAAAATTCAGGTCAAATTGATTAAGTTTGGCTTGGATAGAAATTAGAAATAGTAAAATCATATTTTAGGTCTGGACTAAATTAATTAGTTAGCAAATTTATTTTAAAAAAATAAAATAATTTGATTTATTTAAGATAAAAAATTAATCAAATTAGAGAGATTCGGTTCTTGATTCAAATACCCGTTCAGGTATTTAATTTAAGAAGAACTGCTCGATTCAGTTCAGGTCCAGTTCGATCCGATTCGATTAGACAGTTTTGTCCGACCCTAATTGTGAGTCACTATTACAAATTTAGTAGCAATTACACATTTTTTAGGCAACATATTATTTACTGATTACAAATTATTCATTTTATTGATAACATATTATTTACTGGTCGCAAATTACCCATTGTCACAATTACGTAAATAATTGGTCACGAGCCTAGCGGTGAGCCATCTCACGGCGCACCGCAAACCATTGTAGCAATGAGTGAGTGGTGGTTGTGGTGATGATAATGACGATTAGTGGTGGCAGGCAACGATTGTGAAGTGTTGGTGACGACGAACGATGGTGACAAGCGACAATTATGATTGTGTGGGAGTGAATTGTGACTTGGAGAATGAGTAAAATAATAGGTGGGGGTGGGAGTATAATATATTCTAAATTTTGAAAGAATAAAGTTAAAATGTTTTTGAAATGATGAGTTAAAAATAAACTTAATAATAGGTTCAGTATCACATTCAAGAGCATGTTTGGCAAGACTTTAAATAAAAGCAAGTTAGCTTATGTTTGGCCCCCAATTTTGAAAAAACTCATTTTTAGATATACGTTATTCCTTATATTTTTACATGTAAATCGAAAAATTTTCCTTCCTTTTTAACTATACATTCTCCAAAAAATCATTATTCTAAAACAAGTTTTCAAGATGGGGCTCAAACATTGGCTAAGTTACTTTTAAGGCTTAATAGTAGAAAATCTCCTTCAAACTTGTCCATGTGCAACGTAGAGGGCCTATTGGAAATAACAGAAAATGTCTCCGTTTGAAACAATTGTTCAAAATACCCGTACGATCAATATTCATTAGTTTAATCATTAAAAATAGTAGAAGAATGTCAAAATTTAAAAGGAATAATTGTAGTTGCGATCCCAAACTTTTTATTTTTACAAATTATAACCAAATTTTTTATATGTATCACCCACAATCTCAAATCTTTAAAACTTTATTTTCCACCCCACCTCACCCCCACCCCCACCCCCACCCCCACCAAAGATCTCAAAACCCACCGCCCTCCCTCCCTCCCTCCCTTCAATAAACTCCACAAAAAATTCACCAAAGATTCCAAAATCCATTAGCTCAATTTTACTTCAAAATCATCTAAATCTTTTAAAAGCTTGTGATTAGGGCTCGATCTCGAGGATGGATAGTAGCGTTATGACTTGTATTTTCAGATATGGCTCCACAGATTGGTCAACATGGTGAGGCGACCCGATCAATGGTGGTTCGCGATCATGAAAAGTCACCAGAGGTCCAGGTTTTGGTTACTAAATCGTGCGCAACTATAGTGTGTTTTTTATTGATTTTGGCTTTCGATAGTTGTTGTTTGGATTGGAGATTGTAGGTGGCATGAAATTGTCGACGTAAAGGTTGATTTTCAGTGGCAAAGGTGGTGGTTGGAGACTTGAAGGGTAGTGGCTCCATAGAGGGCAAAAATCGCCCGTAGGCTAGAGAGGATTGGTCAAGGAAGAGAATAGTGTTTTTTTTTTTTTTGGTTTGGGAAGGAAAATAAAATTTTGAAAGTTTGAGATTGTGGAGGATGGATATAAAAATTTGGTTATAATTAGCAAAAAAATTTAAAAAGTTTGGAATTGAAACTATAATTATTTCTTTTAATTGTGACATTTTTTTTTACTGTTTTTAACGACGGGATGTTTCAAAACAAAAGATTTTCAACATGGACTATTTTCAATCACATATTCTCCAATAATATAATTATACACGTATTTCAAAAAATGTCTTTACCTTTTAAGTATACATTCTTAAAAAAAAAAAAAAAAATCACTATTTCATAACATACATTTTATCTCAAAGATGGGAATCAAACTAGGCTAAGCATCACTTTCAAATAAAAGGAACTTTCGACCTCATATTTTTCGAGGTTTGTATTTCACCAGAGGATCCCTGCGATTAAGGTGTGGTATGGCCATATTTTTGTAATAAAAAATCGAAACCTAAATAAATCTCAAAAGGTTATTATAAGAATATGTGGTTAAAAATGAGTATGAGAGAAAATTGATTTCGAGGACCCGTTTCGAAGGGATTCCAGTATTGTTTATGCTTCTTGTAGAAGGTAGAAGAGTTTTCTGAGAAAATTAAGTTAGTTTGCACTAAAAGTTTTTCTAGTAAGATAAAAAACTTTCATAAAATTATTCAAATAAATTCAAAAACAATTTCTTAATTTAAAAAACGGTTTTTAACCTTTTAAAACCCATGTCCGACTGGCCCTAAATCAATTTTTAACAATTAAAAGCATCTCCAAAATTTTCTCTATTTTTAAAGAGTATATTCTACAATTTAGAGAGTAAAAAATTTGAAGTACTTATACCGGCTTTTTATATTTAACACTTAATTTTAGTACTATTTTTCTATCTTTTATTATCACTAGTTTTCCTCTAAATTATTGTATTATTTTCCCCTATTGAAAATTGAAGTAATTTGAAAACATTAAACTATAGAGAGTAAGTTGGCTCTTCAAACTCACTCTCTAAATTAAAATGTTACTTTAAAGAGTTTTTTTGGAGCATAGTTTTAAGGATTGATTTTTTTAAAAAGAGAACTTATATTTAAAAAGCCTTTTGAAGATATTCTAAAAATTATTTAATTCTACAAAAGGAAAAATGCATAATTACAAAGATTTCAAGGTACACTTACAAAAATAAGAAACTTGAGAAAAAGTTTCAAAAATCAGGTGGTCACATTTATAACAATTTTGTGACTTATTAATTAATTAAACATGTCAAGGTCACAATAATACATAATTTATGGTCACAGTCATAAATCGCATAAGGCCACAATCACAAGACACATTGTGAGTAAGGTTGAGTATTATCCGATTCAGTTCAGTTGATAACCGAACTAAACTAGAATTTTCGGGTATTTAGTAAATGGAACCGTTAGGTCTAAATTTAAAAATGGAACCGTTCGTGTTCAATTCTATTCGGTTCAGACTATTCGATTTCGAGGTTCATACAATAATTTTTTTTTTATATTACAACAACGCTACATTAATTCGATTATGACATGTTCAATTAACTCTTACAAAATAACGTAGTCCAATCTCGTGATATTTTTTGCACCTCTCTTTGTTTAGTTCTTTATAGATTTGACTGTAAAAATCACGGGTAGAAGAAGATGAAGATGGCTGGTTCACAATAATAGAACGATAGAAATGACACTATAGTATAATAAGATATTTGGGTAAAATTCAGGTCAAATTAATTAAGTTTGGCTTGCATAGAAATTAGAAATAGTAAAATCATATTTTAGGTCTGGACTAAATTAATTAGTTAGCAAATTTATTTAGAAAAAAATAAAATAATTTGACTTATTTAAGATAAAAAATTTAAAAAAATTAATGAGATTCGATTCTTATTCGTTGATTCGATTATTGGTCAAAAATCGAGAACCAAATTTGATTTATTTAAGATAAAAAATAAAACAAATTAGAGAGATTCGAATCTTATTCGGTTGTCGATTCAAATACTCATTCAGGTATTTAATTTAAGAAGAACCGCTCGATTCAGTTCGGATCCGGTTCGATCCGATTCGATTAGGCAATTTTGTCCAACCCTAATTGTAAGTCATTATTACAAATTTAGTCGCAATTACACATTTTTTAGACAGCATATTATTTACTGATTACAAATTATTCATTTTATCGATAACATATTATTTATTGGTCGCAAATTACCCATTGTCACAATTACGTAAATAATTGGTCACGAGTCTAGCGGTGAGCCATCTCAAGGCGCACCGCAAACCATTGTAGCAATAGGTGAGTGGTGGTTGTGGTGATGATAACTACGATTAGTGGTGGCAGGCAACGATTGTGAAGTGTTGGTGTCGACGAACGATGGTGACCAGCGACAATTATGATTGTGTGGGCGTGAATTGTGACTTGGAGAATGAGTAAAATAATAGGTGGGGGTGGGAGTATAATATATTCTAAATTTTGAAAGCATAAAGTTAAAATGTTTTTGAAATGATGAGTTAAAAATAAACTTAATAATAGGTCCAGTATCACATTTAAGAGCATGTTTGGCAAGATTTTAAATAAAAGCAAGTTAGCTTATGTTTGGCCCCCATTTTCGAAAAAACTCATTTTTAGCTATACATTATTCCTTATATTTTTACACGTAAATTGAAAATTTTTCCTTCCTTTCTAACTACACATTCTCCAAAAGATCATTATTCTAAAACACGTTTTCAAGATGGGGCTCAAACATTGGCTAAGTTACTTTTAAGGCTTAATAGTAGAAAATCTCCTTCAAACTTGTCCATGTGCAACGTAGAGGACCTATTGGAAATAACAGAAAATGTCTCCGTTTGAAACAATTGTTCAAAATACCCGTACGATCAATATCCATTAGTTTAATCATTAAAAACAGTAGAAGAATGTCAAAATTTAAAAGGAATAATTGTAGTTGCGATCCCAAACTTTTTATTTTTGCAAATTATAACCAAATTTTTTATATGCATCACCCACAATCTCAAATCTTTAAAACTTTATTTTCCACCCCACCTCACCCCCATTCCTCCACCAAAGATCCCAAAACCCACCGCCCTCCCTTCCTTCATTTCTTCAATAAACTCCACAAAAAATTCACCAACGATTCCAAAATCCATTAGCTCAATTTTACTTCAAAACCATCTAAATCTTCTAAAAGCTTGTGATTAGGGCTCGATCTCGAGGATGGATAGTAGCGTTATGACTTGTATTTTCAGATATGGCTCCATAGATTGGTCAACATGGTGAGGCGACCCAATCAATGGTGGTTCGCGATCTTGAAAAGTCACCAGAGGTCCAGGTTTTGGTTGCTAAATCGTGCGCAACTATAGTGTGTTTTTTATTGATTTTGGCTTTCAATAGTTGTTGTTTGGATTGGAGATTGTCGGTGGCATGAAATTGTCGACATGAAGGTTGATTTTCGGTGGCAAAGGTGGTGGCAAGGTGGTGGTTGGAGACTTGAAGGGCGGTGGCTCCATAGAGGGCAAAAATCGCCCTTAGGCTAGAGAGAATTGGTCAAGGAAGAGAATAGTGGTTTTTTTTAAGTTTGGGAAGGAAAATAAAATTTTGAAAGTTTGAGATTGTGGAGGATAGATATAAAAATTTGGTTATAATTTGTAAAAAAATTTAAAAAGTTTGGAATTGAAACTATAATTATTTCTTTTTAATTGTGACATTTTTTTTTTCTGTTTTTAATGGCAGGATATTTCAAAACAAAAGATTTTCAACATGAACTATTTTCAATCACACATTCTCCAATAATATAATTATACACGTATTTCAAAAAAGGTCTTTACCTTTTAAGAGTGTATTTGGTAGAGATTAAAATCGGATTAAAAGTGAAAAATTAGTCGTTATTGTTAACTTTTATTAGACGGGTAGGACCCAATAATTATTATATTTTCAATTTTAATTGAATTTTTAGTGTTACCAAACAAGCTCTAAGTATACATTCTTAAAAAAAAAAAAATCACTATTTCATAACATACATTTTATCTCAAAGATGGGACTAAGCATTACTTTCAAATAAAAGGAACTTTCGACCTCATATTTTTCAAGGTTTGTATTTCACCAGAAGATCCCTGCGATTAAGGTGTGGTATGGCCATATTTTTGTAATAAAAAATCAAAACCTAAATAAATCTCAAAAGGTTAAATAAAAAACAAAAAAAATCATTAATGGCGGCTCTGGCAGTGGAGGGTGCAGCTGTAACGGCGCTTCGGGCGGTATTTCATCGAGTCCGGCAGGCGGCAGAGAGGTCCGGCCGTTCGTCCAGCGACGTGAGGGTGGTGGCCGTCGGCAAGACCAAACCCGTCTCCCTCATCCAACAAATCTATGACGCAGGTCACCGGTGCTTTGGTGAAAATTATGTCCAAGAAATTGTTGAAAAAGCCCCTCAGGTTCACATTAATTCTAAAAACCTAATTGGAATTACTTTTTCTATTCTTGTTTAAAGTTAGGTATTTTGTTGTAAAATTGCAGCTGCCGGAGGACATTGCTTGGCATTTTATCGGGCATTTGCAAAGCAATAAAGTGAAAACTCTATTGAGTACGATTTAATTTCCACTTTAATGCTTCTTAATTTTACTCAACAAAAGGAAAATAGATGATCCCTGAAAGATTTATGTTACATGTTCTTTTCCTCAATCGTGTGCAGCTGCTGTCCCAAATTTAGATATGGTTGAGGGCGTGGACAATGAGAAGGTAATATTGCATTGTTATAGCTTGTTTGGTTTTATGTTTTCATGCTGTGGCCTTTTAGTGGTCTTTCTCACTTACTAGTTACTATTATGAGCTATTATGAGCTTGATTGTGAGATTAATACACTGAAATAAAAATGGGATTTAACTTGGTTCATCACTCAAAATGACAGTACTTACATCATCTCTGATGCACAGCTTGCTAGTCATCTGGACCGTGCAGTTTCAAGCTTCGGGAGGCATCCTTTGAAGGTCTTGGTTCAAGTTAATACCAGTGGAGAAGAATGTGAGTAATAAAATTATGAATGTTCTTTTGTTCAATTGCGAAACTATGTGGGAGAAGTTTTGTGGACTTGAGAGACGATGTAAAAATGTTTTGAGCTATTCAGAATGTTGACTGGTGGGCGCAGTTATTGCTTAACGTTCCCGGGTTACTTTAAAAGATTCTGACTGCGCCTAATATTCCTTAGTCCAGGTTCACTTGCATGTATATGATATGATTTGACTAATTTGAGACCCTGATCAAATCTTATTAGTTTGTCGACACGAGTCTTTTTTAAGATTCACATTTGGTTACCTTGACTATCATTCCTCCAAAATATAGTGCGTATTGTCTTCTCCTCTGTTTACAAACAAATGTTGCTTTCTTTATTCACCCGATACAGGGACCAACTTTGGAGCTAAATTGATTTATCATTTGCAGCAAAATCTGGTGTAAATCCTACAGATTGTGTAGATCTTGTAAAGCATGTCAAGCTGGGTTGCCCAAATCTTGAGTTCTCTGGCTTAATGACAATAGGGATGCCCGACTACACGTCAACTCCTGAGAACTTCAAGGTGATATTCCTCATTTGTTCTGGGAATTGGTTGGTCATTGATTTTATTTCGATGAGCACTTGTAGAAGACTCCTCGAGTTTCTTAAATTTTGTGAAGAAATAACATTTGTGCATGTTTGGCAAAATTAAAATCTCCTTATAATTTGAAGTCACGCTTGAAATGAATTTTAACACCTGAAAGTTGGATAGGATGGCTCTTACGTAAGGATTATATTGCCCCATTTTTTATGAAATACAAGATGCATAATTACATATTAATTTTAACCACATATTCACACTTACTACACTTCACCCACTTAATATTCACACATTTCGTGGGACACACTACTACTCTTCATTGTAATGTCATTATAATTTATCCCGAGCAAGTACTTACCTATCGTTGCAACAATATTGCCTTTATTCATGAATCTATTCATAATATTTTTTTTCTCCATCTTTAGATCTCTTCTCCCTGAAGAAGGAAAAGGATGAATTTGTTACTCTAGTATCCAATCTTAATGCAATTAATTTGTGTTATCAATGAGCACATCTGTATTGGAAGGGTTTTGTATTTAAGTATATATTTTCTGCTACCTTGCTTACTAATTATTCTAGGTTCTGATCCATTTGTACTGCATTCTAATGCAACAGACTCTATTAGACTGTAGAGCCAAGGTATGCGAGGTGCTTGGCATGGCAGAATCCCAATGTGAATTATCAATGGGCATGTCTGGTGACTTTGAGCAAGCGGTGAGCCTGGGATCTGGTTATTAAATTTACTTTGTTAGCATAATTAACAAGAACACAATGTTATATTTTCCAATTGATTATTTGCCGGAGTATAGTTTCTACATTTTTCTTGATTTTATGACGTAATATGTTGTTTTAAATTACTAGTTCCGCACCTTGTGCCATAAACATATTTGAAAGAATGACAACATCTGTTTGATAATTGCAGATTGAAATGGGCAGTACCAATGTGAGAATTGGATCGACTATATTTGGACCCAGGGAATATCCGAAGAAGAAATGAAAGGGACTATATTTCTCGTCAATGACTTTTACAGTAATTATTACATGCTCGAAGGCAGAAATGTGTCGTCTTTATTTATTTTTTCTTTTTGAATTTCAACTGTTGAGTGTATCATGATACTTGCACATAGATCCTTTCTTACAAACGTCGAAAATAATGTTGTAGATTGAAACCATAACAAACTTTGTTCTCCAGTAAAAACAAAAGAAACGGGGATTGAAAGGGGAGGGAGGAAAGGGAATGAAGAGGATAATCTATACGAATATCCCCAGCACAGTACAGCTATTATGATTCCATAGCGGCTGCCTCCTGATTTTCATCTGGATTAGAATTTTCAACTCGTGATCGTTTCACAGCTGAAAAAGGGAACAAGATGAGTGTGAGTTACAACAACAAAGGTTAGAACAAAGTAAAAAAGAATCAACTGATCTGATCAATCTAACACTATAACAGTCATGATGCAGGCATTCACAGATACGAGAAACTAACCCTGTATAAATTCATGCCACCCAACAAGAAACTGAGAATTGAAGGAGAGAAAATCATATCAAACAAAATTAAAGACTCACATTTGATAGATGATCCTGCAAGACAAGTGAGCCTGGATCTGGTATTAGCCTCAGCTAGGGGATTCGTCTTCTCCTTGTTAACCATCCGAACATCCCAAATGCGTATAACCCCATCAGATGATGCAGATGCCACAATGTATGGATCCTCCTCCCCTGAATCGCTACTCTTAGATAATACAACAATGCCTTTGACACGGGCTGCATGAGCATCTTCAATGCTATAAGCCACTTTCCCACTGGCTGCATCCCATGCCGTGACATTCCTATCCTCTCCCCCGGTAAATAAAATCCCATTCTGCCAAAAAGGTTTCTAATAAGCATGGCGTAAATAATATCAAAGAAAACATACAGATAAAAAGCTTGAAATCATACCCTGCCCGGGGCCGCACAAAGGACTCTTTTCCGATTATCCAGCTCAATAATTAATTTTGCATCCTCAGATTCGTGAACACTTATTTTCTCATCAGCTACCATGAAGAATTTTTCACCGGTTTCATTGTATTGTATAATTGATGACTCTTTGCTTAACCTGCAGTAGAAACTGCGTTTGCCCCTAACCAAATTGACCATGGCCAAGCACTCATCGTGGCCTACCGTCAGTGCTAGCTGGCCAGAGGGGTGGACAGAGAGGGAGTTGATTCCTTTCTTATGGACTTTAAGGGTTTTGAGATGGACAAAGGGGTCGGCATCATAAATTGAGAGAAAACCTTCAGCATCAGCGGCAAAGAGATTGCGGGGGAAGGAAGAGAGTGAAGGAGGTGCAAAGAAGGAGAGAGAGGTGATGGCAGATGACTGGTGGAGGGAACCGATCTCAGAGGAGGAGTTGAGATCGTAGATTTTAATTGTGTCATCATATCCACCAGAGACAGCGGCAGAACCGAATACTGCGACGGCCTTGATGGTGGAAAGATGGGAAGGGAAGGTAAAAAGTGGAGAAAGGGTGAAGTTCTGGCGATGTTTTAACCTGTAACCCCATATGAATCGCTCGTAGGATCCTGCCACCAAACTCATCTTCTACCTTTTTTCTTTCTCTGAATCCTAATTTAGAGGGATGAAAACATATTTTAGGGTTTTGAAATTTAGGGTTCTGGGTTTTAAGGTGCGCGGACGATTTGGGAAAATTGGTAGTCAATTAGGTTATTCGATTAGGGTTAAGAAATCTATTGGGTCATTAAACTTTCAAAAACGTGTCATTTTAATCACCGAACCTTTTTAACTTATTAAATGGTCACTGAACTTAAAGTTTTTATTTCAGTTAAGTCACTCATCACATATCTATTAATAAATTTAACAGTTTATTGACGTGTCTAATGATGTTGCTTATGTGGTTAACTGTCTTGATGAGATGAAATTAATCACATCGAAAACACAACTTTTACAGAAGATTATGATTTTAGAATACTCGTTTAAGCGTTTTAACTCTTGCCATATAAGTCGTGTTGGCGGACATATCATCACCAAATTCACTAAATGGGCTATTACTAACATATACGTGGCAAGTGACTTGATTGAAACAATTTTGTGAGTTCGACGATCATTTATGCTAAAAAAAATGTTTTGGAGACTGAGTGACATTATGAAAGTTTTATTGAAAATTAGAAACTCTAATTATATTTCGCTGAGATCAATCAATTCGTAGAAGGAAAACAAGACACTTAAGAACATGGGAGACTTATAAATGTTCATCTTAATGTGAGGTTACGTGATTTTCATTTCGGCTTAAACTTTTAAACGAAATAGTTAACGTGGTATCGAAAGCGGACAAAAGGTGAACGTGAAGTCTCTAATTCCTATTGTTCCATATGTAAATGAATTCTCACTTAGTCACTCAAAATTAAACATTTGAGCTTTCAACAATACTAATTGCTTCAACCATTGTCTCCCTAAACCTTGCAATATTGATCCTTACATTCTGATGGTTAAGCTATATCTCCCTGCCTACTTCAAAGCTGAAGGATCTGGGGTCCTTGAACGCAGTATGATTTTGTCCGAAAACTTTGAAAAGTGAGCTCTCCTCCGGTTCGATCCTGTATGGCAAGTAATGCAAGCCCATTACACGAGCTGGATCTCCATAATATGTCGTTCCAGCCCATTCAAGTCCAATTAGTTCTATTTGCACCATAACCGCACCAGCAGGCAAGAACAATTCATTTGTAAGGCCGGCTCCATGATCTCCCACGAAGACTCTGCACGAGTTTATTATATGAGCCAATGTGTTCAAGTCTGATATCACATTATTTCTTGCAACAATAGTTACTCGAAAGCCTAATTCTTCCATCATGGAAACCATTTCGTCTTCATTTAGGAATCTTCAGGTTTTTCTGCGAGATAACAGGACTAAATTTGGCCTATTGATTTCAGATACATGCACGAACTTGAGATTATATGCTTGTTTAAGAAACTGCTTGAAATCCTGCATCGAATGCCCTCCTGGGCTATCACTGAAATTCAAAGCCAAATGGCCATGAAACTTGAGCCCAACTATTGCTCCTGGAAAGCAATGAACACTTTGATTCGCAGCTGGATTAATCACCTCGTAAGCAGACAATTGAGACATAGGCTAGCTATATTTCCTAACAAATGTGGCCTTGTAATCCTCGAGAATAAATTGCACGTGCGATCTCAGATGTCTAGTCGTAATGAAAAGAGGGAACGATAATTTCATTGAATTCATGGAACACATTTCCTACGAAGCCATTGGATGAGAATATTACAGCAGGGATGACGTGAATGTACTGGCAAGCCGGTAGAATCGTATTATTACCCTGTAGTATCTTTACCGGTGTGACATTTTTGAGAAGATTATAATCCTCGTCTTGCATATGGGCGAACCTCGGTTTCTTGCACAGGCTGATCAGACTCAATATGAACTGTCATTGTGCTTGTGTTAATCCTAACAGCTTGATTTGTAACACAATGAACCAAGTAATTAGTCGTATGGCATGCAAATCCAGTGTCTTGGAGCTTCTTTCGTATCGAATTAATTTCTTAACGCGTGCACATTTGGTTAAAAAAATGAATCTGGCCTATACATGAGAGGCGTGCTGAAACGAGGTAGTTCTATATAACTCACCTGTCACTACTCTTGAAAGAAGAAATTTCATGGACTTGTGCTCTTCTTGAACTGTGTCATGGTAGTTTCGCAGTATTGAATCCCTGCCATTTCCTAATATATGTTCACCATGTTGAAGAATTAAGCTTGTAGAAGATGGTAAAAAGGTAGACTTACATTGATCGAAGGGGATGATATTTCCACAGAAGAAATCAAGAAAGAGCAAAGGGAGGATGAGTAAGAAGACTATTTGAGTTGCAGTAATGGCCAGCCTTCTAGGCTCCTTCTCCATGGAAGTCTACCTATTAATTTTATTTTTTCGAAACTATTAATTTTGTAACCCAACTAGTGTACAATAGTGCATATTAATAGGGTCCAATTAAGAAATTCAGAAGTCAATTTCTAGGAAATGATGCTAATGTTACTCCAAGATCTTGTATATTGTACAGGGAGGCGAGATTAAGGAGAAAATATGAATATTTAACTGTGCAACTTTGATAACTGTTTTGAAGCTCTTAATTTGACTCAAATTTTACTTATATTTTGGGGGTAAAATCTAGAAAAAAAAATGGTTAGAATATTCAACCATCAGACTCTTTAGGGTCATTAAATGATGCAAAAAGTGGTTCTTCTGGTTTTAATCCTAGAGATGAGAGTGGAGTAGCCCATAGAATTGGATCTTTTGCTATGGTTTCGAGACCATCTTGACCAAATCGATTATATGCCTACTTTTTTTTTCGCACAACGTGAATTGTGTAGTTTTCAAGCATAACAAAGGGGGAAGTAGTGGTCGAAGATTCTATTATACTCAAGTCAGTAAATTGAGAAAATAAGTCAATGTAAACAATCAATTTTGATTTGTTTCTTCATCAGGTTTGCCTTTGCACGCTTATTATCTCCTCCGTTTTGAGGTCATGTAGATTAGTTGAACTTCGAAATAAATAGTAGTGAACATACTAAGGTAGAAGTCCACGTCGACAAGATCCCAATTGGTCGAGGCAAGTCTTGAAGTCTAAGTGCATAACATATACTATTCTTTTAAATATATAATTAAACTTATACCACGATGAATCTCCTTACTCAAAATCTTTACACACTTTTAATTATATGCATATTGAACCATGACTGATACATATCTATTCATTTATGTTGTAATATCATGAAATGTAGGGAATCCCTTGTTAGAAGGATCTCCCCAGATCCCCGAGGCCTGAATATTTCTTTAAATTTGACTTTGCAATTAAGGGTCCCCAGATTTAAAATAATGTTTCTTCATCTAGAAAAAGTTTTATTTGTATAATTCCAAAAAGATGCATCTTTTCATGATTTAAAAATCAGCTATTGACATTTTGGCTATAGAATATATTATTTGTAAGTAATTAAATGCTATTGACAGTCACAAACTATATACTTAGATTTCACCATAATTAACAATCATGATGAATAAGTAAAAATTTCAAAGTGAATAAGTAGAAATTCGAAAAAGTTAAAAGAATCCCATTTTTTTTAACACATTTCAAAAATCGAGAGAAAGTGTAATAGTATGTACATCTTGTCATCGTCGATCAATTACCTCAATATAACTTACTAACAAAAACCGTTCTTGGCTACACATCCAAGTCTGAAACAAGACTAAGAGCTTCAACCATTGTCTTCCTAAACCTCGAAAGATTGATCCTTACATTCTGCATATCAAGATACACCGCCCTCGCAGCACGGTACCCGCCCTTGTCAAAGAGATATCCCGGATCAGTAATGACCGAATGATTCCGTCCATACAATTTCAAAAGCGAACTCTCCTCCGGTTCAATCTTGTACTTCAAGTAATGCACATCCATGGCACGAGCAGGATCCCCATAATAGGTGTCGGCCGCCCATCCAAGGCCGAGTAATTCTACTTGAACCATAACAGCTCCGGCTGGCAAGAACATCTCATTCGTAAGGCCAGCCCCATGTGCTCCCACCAATACACTACAAGAATTGATCATATTTGCAAATTTGTTCAAATCTGATATAATCTTTGATCTTGAAACAACAATAACTTGAAAACCCAATTCTTTCATCATTGCAACCATTTCGTCTTCATTGAGAAATCTTCTTGTATTTCGACGAGACAAGAGGATTAACCTCGGCTTTTTTATTTCAGACACGTGCATGAACTTCAAATTATACGCCTCTCTAAGAAAATGTCTGAAATCACGCATCGAATACCCTCCCGGGATATCACTGAAATTCAAGGCTAGATTGTTATGATATTTTAGCCCAACTACAAATCCCGGAAAGCAATGCACACTTCTATTTGCAGCTGGATTCATGACTTCATAATTAGACAAGTGAGACACAGCCTTGCCATATTTGTTCATAAATGATGGTTTAAAATCCTCAAGAATGAAAAAAACCCGGGATTCGAATTGCCTCGTAGTGATGAACAAAGGGATAACGATTTCGTTGAATTCGTGGAAAACATTTCCCATTCCTTTGGATGAGAAGATCACAGCAGGAACATCGTGTGTATACTCGCAACCCGGTGGTGTAATGTTTCCATAAATCAAACGAACCGGTGTAAGAGTCTTAACAAAATTCTTGTCCTCTTGTCTTGCATGTGGATAAACCACAGTTTCTTGTTTCAAAGTTCGATTAGAGGGAATATAAACTTTCATTGTGCTGGTGTCAATTCTTACAGGTTGATTTGCAACACACACAACAGAATGAACAGCAGTATCACATGCAAAACCAGTAGCTTCAAGCTTTCTTCTATCTTCTCCTGTTCACATATTTGCATCAAATTGTGGCGTAAATTATATATAGTCGAGCGTATAAAGAGCACGATGACTTGACGTACCTCCAACTAGTCTTGCTAAGAGATGATCGAATGATTTCTGCTGATCTTCAAATCTGGAATTCATAGTTTCAGAACCCGAAAAGTATTGAATCCCTGCCATACATAGTACTTATTTAATCGGTAAATAAATCAAGAAAATCAAGTAAAAAAGAAAAAAAGAAGCTAGAATTACATTGATCATATGGAATAACATTTCCCCAGAAGAAATCAACAAAAAGCAAAGGGAGGATAAGCAAAAAGACTATTGGAATTGCACCAAAAACCAGTCTTCTAGGCTCCTTCTCCATCTTCAACAAGTTTGAATTTTTCTCATTTTAACAATATGCTGAGGCCTGCAATTCTTTTAAAGACTAAAATAGTATCAGTTTGATGAGATGTCAATTCCTGTTCACATAATCACTCTCATTTTTCTATTCAATATTTCAATGAAGACTTTCTCAATTCTATTTTCAAAGCATCATTTTTATATTTTTAAATTGAGAGCTAGGCTTGACTTTGTCAAAAATATAAATTTAAATAAATAATTTTCTTCTTGTTCTACTAATTTCCATTTACTCTCTGTTCTCTTCTATAATCGTACGCTATGTAATTATAGTCATATATTCCTTTTATTACAACAATTTTAACTATTTAAATCTTGAATGTGACTGTTCAACAAATTATTTATTTAAGATGATATTTTTCATAATAATTAATATTTTATCACAAATTTGTATATTTATACTTCATTTAGAGCTCGTTTGATTGCAATAATGGAATTTAGGTGGAAAGAGAATGAACTTCAGGCAATTGAATTGTCTAGAACTTGTTTTAGTGAGAATTCTCAATTAATTTTGTTTGATTTGTATAATTTTTTACCTGAAAATATTGAAATTTTAGATCTTTTGGTATTCGTTTGGCTTTATTTTTCATAAAAATTGTCCATTAAAGTGATATAATTTATTTCCATTGTCAAAAAAATTTTAAAAAATAAAAATAAAGTTGTGGGAAAAGCTTTTCCTCAGTAACCAAGAAATTGTGAGCACTAGTTGGTATGTGAGGGGGAACTAGTAAATTTTGCCTGTGAATCACATACCAACCAATTCCATGAAAAAATTGGGCAATCAAACATGTAAAAATGTACGGGAATTTAATTTTCATCTTCATGAAATTGAAGTGTAATCAAACATGGCTTTAGAAACAATTGAAGCAAGAAATTTAAAAGTCAATATTGTGAGGCTTAAAATTGATGCGTGATATGTGCTTAGTTTCACATTCGTGCACATGGCCTTTTTGACACGCTCATTTAAGTCATTGCTTGGAAAATTAGTCTCAGATAATTAAGGGAAGATTACGCATATTTAAGGATAAGTTACAAATATGCCTATTAATTAAATTAAGGAAAACGTGTCCGGTTAGAAATTCACGATGCTTGTTGTCGTAACATAATAGAAGACCCTTTTTCTTCATAGTTTAGACAACGACGTGATTTTTCATTACACCTACTCTCTCATTCCTAAAATAAATTTTATTTTTACTGATCAGTAAACGATGCTAAAATTAAATAAATATCAAATTCTCTATGTAATAAAATATGTAAGCCCAAATTTCTATATTTCCCCCTTTTATTTAAAAATTACTATATTTTTTATTACAATATTTAGCAACTTGTTAAATTAATATTAATATTTTATTTATTAGGGGAAAAACCAGTATAGACAATGGCTTGATGATGTTGACTAAAAAGAGTTGACTTGAAGGTTTTGCGGAGCAATTTCGTAAAGGTGTTCCGAATTATTCTAATTCTTCCAGCAGAATTATCTTCTTCTTTTTCCCTTTTTTTTTAAAAAAAAAAATTAGATAATTACTTACGAAGTAAAATCACAATTTATTTATAAAAATTGTCTTGAAAGAACATGCAGAAATATGAACGGTGGGATGGATCCGCAATTAAAGGGCGATCTGATCAAGCCTTTTTTTTATTTTTTATATAATTCCACTAACTAGTAACTACACACAACAATAACGTTAGATTTGGAAAAAATAAAAATAATAAAAAATCAATCTGACCCGTGTATTAAACGGGTTCAAATCAATCTGACTCGTGTGATACGCGGGTTGACCAGTTTGACCGGTTTAAAATTTTGTCACAAGGGTAATTTGAAAAGTGGTCAAATTGTTTTCGAAAAATTAAGTAAATAAACAATTCCATTTTAAAAAAGTATAACTTGGATTACCAGTTCTCGATTCCTTAATTTTTTAATATTTTTAAAAATTTATTATGTTATTAAAATGATTCTTGAACCCTAATTTTTTCGCGAATCAAGTTGGTCCAATTCAATTCGACAGCTTCAGCTTGTGATAGGTATTGGGATTAGAGCTATAATTTTGATATTTTTAAAGATTACGTAACAGTTTTAAATAAATATAGAATGACAGCTAGAGAAAGTTCGTCCTTGGATTCCGGTACGAGCATTAGAATCTCGATTTCGATCTTTACGGACCCAACAAAATATAATTGTTAATTTGCTTGGTAGGTCAATGTGCTTTGTAATTCTAATTATAAAACGTTTACAACATCATAGTCCATTTCGAAAGTATTGTTCCAATCTTCAACGGTTTGAGATATTAAATTGTGCCAGATGAACGTGATCATTCAATTTAGACGGTTTTTGACTAGTTACTCTATCAAATGATCTATTAGTACAAAATTGACAAGCCTAGTCCGAGATGGTTGATTTTCGAGCTGGATTTAGTAACTATATTGACATGGATCGACCTATTACTCGTGATTGCAATTGTTGCCCCTCATGTTTGAAGAATGGTGGTTGGTTTTTGAGAGATATTGCTAATGATGAAGTCGTTTCCGATAGATCAATAATGACAATATTGAAAGTTGTATATATACCATTTATACAATACTAACAGTATAGTGTTTATAGTATCTATTACTACTTCGTCCCCCTTGATTTCATATATCTTACATCATCACAAATAATCTAGATAGTTTTGCTTATCTTGAGAGTCTTATTAGTTTTTCGGTTCCGCAAGGCAATCAATAATCTTGCCCACTTGTGTAGGTTGAACAACAGGTGAATAGAGAGGTGACATACCTCTTTTGAAGGCTACATGTGTAGGTTGCTGCCATGGATGAATGGTTCCTGTTGTGAGGCCACCTATATTGGGTTAAGTAATCCCTTTGCTATTCTGAACTTCAAATTCGCATGCACAGATCAAATGCGTGTGTTTGGTTAAGTAATCTTTTTGTATCAATGTGTGTTGGATGAAGTTATCTTTTTGTTATTCAAGTTCGTATGAATATGTGTGATGGGTTTAGTGACCCCTTTGTGTCAATATTTGTACTTGTGATAGTTTACCTCCAATAGCGATTTCTCTAAATTTATGGTCATAAGGTATATCCTGTGTCGAATTCAAAACTTTTAGGCTCTTCTAGCACCTGCTACATTGATTGCAGCTAATGCAGGGATAGATGGTGTTGTGGTTGTGGAAAAGATACTGTCTTCCAATGCAATAATTTGGAGATATTAAGAATTGAACCTTCTCCGGTTTTAAGGTGTGCAATTCAGAATTTGAGGAGATGTCGATGAAGAAAAGTAGTGGAAGGAAAGCATTTCGTAGGTAAATAATGGGAAAATGTCGGAAAAGATTGAATTTTCAGATCCCGAAAATGAGCGTGGTCTGATAAGTTGCCTGTATATGGTATTACTCGAGTGAAAAAACTTCATCGGAACATTTCAAGGAAAATTTACAAACAAAACTACACTCTGATGCAGTCCATATTGATCTTTCTGAGATTGTGTTTATCCAATTTTTTGTATTTAGGCAATCCTTGGATTTTAATGATGATTTGCCAAGCAGAGAACCAACAAACACAGAGGAACCTTTCCTGTCTGAAAATCGTATCAATAAAATTTCCAATGAGAACGTAAAGAAAGCAGGAAGGAACGAAATGTTTGAGATACATACATTCAAATTTATAAAATCATTAAAACCGAAAAATTCTTCTCTGGCATCTGTCGAAACGCTTGCTCCATTTTCCCAGCTACTGCATAACCAGAAACCAAGATATCACATCCTTCTCCAGCATTTCATCAAACACACCCTAAGCCGTTGCTAAATCCCCCGATTTCTAAATGGGAAGAAATTTGGGCTAGATTTCTGTGGGGGAATTGGTGGAAAGTGCGTGGTGTGGGGAATTTTGCCACTGTTTTAATTTAAATAGATTGAGGAATGAAATGAATTGTTCCATGGCCCAGTCTAGAAAACATTTTAGCCTATCTAACTTAAAAGTTCCTCTCTGAAAATTCACTTTTTTTGGAGCTCATAATAATTTTAAATGTAAATTCAATTTTTTTCATACTTTTTCATCACGCATTTTTCCAAAAAAATTACTATTATAAAATATATTATAAAATGGGCTCAAACAATACCTAAGAAATGCATGAAATGAATGAGGCCTTGTGAGTTCTAAGTTTAGAGGCTGTCTGGTTGTACTTTTCTTTTGCAAAAGAATTGATTTTTTGTCCGTTGAACAAGGCAACGGTCATAAAATGGACAAAGCTGCTGACTTTTGTGTGTAGTGTGTCAGACCATAACGGCAGGGAAATCAATTTTGTCCAAGGAAAATCACGCCCAGACAGGGTCTTAGAATCTTATTACTTCGCCCCTTTTTTATAGAAATTGTAATCTAGATTTTTATCAAAATCAAAATCAAAGTCAACAATTAATTTTAATCATATATTTCATGGATTCCACAACTTTTCAATTCCATAGTTTGTTGACTTTTATTAAAATTTGCTAAAAATCTAATTTTAATCTCCATCAAACAAGAGCTCTGTATTTCTTGGAGTCAAAATAACAAATTTTGGGAGTGTACATCTCAACAGTGGTAAAATTATAGATCGAGAAGGAACCAATTGAATATTTGTTCTCTTGTATTACTATGGCCGGACTTAGGTGATGATTTGATTCGACTATTTCAATATTAAGGGATTTGAGGATTTCTGGTATATACTGATAATTGCAATAAATTAGTATAGAAAATGGGGAGGAGATTTCTGGTCTTTTTGTGATTGTCATCGCTTTTAATTGCAATTAACATGGTCAATCGTTGCTCATTATAGTTCTCGTGTCCTCGTCTTTTTAACGCATTTTTATTTTATTCTTTTATTACAGATCCTGAAATTCAACATATTTGATACTTCTATATTATAGATTATATCTATAATCTTTATGAGATTATAAGCTATAATTTGTATCTATATTATAGAATATATCTATAATCCTTATGAGATTACAAGCTATAATTTGTATCTTTTCCCCTTTTTCTCAGTCTAATTCAAATTCTAGTAACAACCCAATTGATGATTTACATAATCCATTTAGATCCATAAAATATATAAATGAATGAGACCAATCTTTCTCTAATTTTACAATCTGTAATTGGATTATAGGGATACATTTTCAAGAAAGCACACTATAAAAGGTCAAGTGAAATAGCAAATGCATGTCAAGTAGTCCAAAATGAATTCATTAACAAAGAATTTGTTTTGCTATTTATTTGTATTGTCATTCAACCTCATTCACACCAATAGCATACCGCTCAGTTATCATGTTCATATTGTCAATAACCTTCCACCAAAGACACCTCCATTGTTCATCCATTGTGCCTCCAAAGACGACGATCTTGGAAATCATACACTTCGCGTGAACGATGATTTTAACTTTAAATTTTTTGAGAATTTTTTCGGAACTACATTGTTCTTTTGTCACTTTCGGTGGTGGTGGAAGGATAAAGCTTTTGTTGTTTTTCACCATGAAATTTGTCATTTATGCGTATGGAGTGTCAGGTTAGACGGGTTTTATTTAGGAGATAAACTCTCTTTTCCTCCTGATAGCTTTAAAAAAAGATACGATTGGTAATTAAAAGAGGTGCATGGTTGCCCCGTTATGATATTATGTTAATAATTAATAAAATATCCTACTTTCTTTATTTATTTTTATGTATTAAAAAATATAATAATATTTCGTTAGATTTAAATATTTTATTATGACGATTGAAGAATAACAATTTGGTCGTGCATAATGAGAATGAATGATAAACGTTTCCAAATTATGAAAAGAAATCATTGTAAAGTTTTTTTTCATTATACTATTGTTTTAATATTTTTATTTTTGTTTAAGGCTGTCTTCACTAAATTCCATTTCGGGCTCCAGCTTTGAATCCACCCAGAAGTTGACACTATGCCAGTGGATCACGTTTCTCGACCTCACTTAAAAATAATTGTCGATAACTATTGTAAATAAAGAAAATAATAAAATATAATTAAAAGTTTGTTTGACACGGATTTTTCAAGAAAAAAATATTATTTTTTTGAAGAACTTGGTTAAAAAGTAAAATTAATAAAAAAAAATTGGGAGTATAAATGTAGGATTGAAAATGATTTTAGAAAAAATAATTTGACGAACAAGACAAAAATTTATACAATCTAACGGTTGAAGAGATTTTTTTTTTTTTTTTTCATGAACGAATCCAATTTGTAGTGAGTTTTGCGTGGAAAGGTCCCACGGAATTGACGCAACTATATTATTTTGTATATTGGATAACAAAATGAGTGACGAGCATACTATTGGCTTCTGCCTTGTCATCACATAGAGGTGTTGTCGTCGAGTCCTATTTAACACTTGAGTTATCGTCAAACTTTATAAACCTGCCACATCTCTATTTAGATTTCGACCGAATACCATTGTGACGTATATTTGAGAAATGAGATATCTTATTTAACGACTAACGACACCTCAATAAAGAACCAAAAAACACTTGCTCCATGGTGTGTGGAGGCTACGGACCAAAAAGTAGCGATTTAAATAATAGATACGTAGTTTTATTGTCAACCCCAAAAATATGATATTTTCTAATTGAGTCCATTTAAATACTATCAAAATAATAAAGTTGACCACGAACCAAAGAAGATTCACCTCCGATTAATTGGAAACATTGTTATGATTTCTTTTTATCTAATATCTTAACCACTAATTAGTATTTAGTTGTGGGCCGCTTTGCCATCACTTATTTTTTGGAGAAAGTAAGATAAGCCAAACACGCTTTATTAGGAAAAAAAAATAATTGCCCCTATGATTGCCCCTATAGAGTTGAAACGCTTCATTTTTTGCTCGTCTATTGGCCATGGAAATTTCACCCAAAAAAAGAAGAAGTTGAAACCCTTTAAATTTGTTATAGTAAAAATGTTAAACATCTATAATAAACGTTTGATTTTTTTTTATGAACGACACATTTTTGGATGAAAATTATTCTTCTAATGGATAAATTAAAATGTGTTTTTTACCACTTAAAGTTTGAAGTTGAGTTGCACTTTTTTGAAAAGTCAGAAACATCTATAGCAAATTTCTCTTTATCAACTCATCTTGAGCTCGTTTGTTGATTCAATTTTGACAACCGTCACAATATGAGTTGAGTTCGGCTCATCCTTAGGGCCATTGCCACCCCTAACATTATGACCCGACGTTTCGTACAATGCCAATGGTCCCTTGGAGCGGGGACCAAAAATAAATGTTATCACGTTCAAGCGTACTGAAATAATCATAAAGAAAATGCTATGTATTCCATAATTGTGTCCACGATTGATACATGTAGACCCCCTATTGAAGAGACGTAAGTGTCCATCATGAATATCATGAATGTCATTGTGTTATGAGTCATTTACCCATAGCATAACTCATCACCAAAAGAGAAGTGCTACGTGTACATAAATCTATACATAATAACGTCCATAATGTGATGTGGACAAAATCTTATTATTGATGTGAAAGCATGAGATTATGGACGTTATTATGTACATGTAGACTTTTCCTAACCATAATATCCTTTTCTCCACTGTGCTGTCTTCTCTTATCTGTCCGGCTATCCCCTCTTACCAATAATTCTGCACAGGTACAATTACGGTAGAAAATCTTAGCCATTCAATCCTAGAGACGGGCAAAAACTCAACCACATCACTCCCACGGTCACACCTCTTATCAATTCGGCATCTCTATATATTATCCCCTTCCTCGACTTACCAGAACCACACAGGGCTTTGCAACTATACAAGATCAAATTTTAAAGCATATACATTTTCTTGTTTTCTCCAAAATCAAGAACCCAAAAGGCTGGATTTTAATTAGGAGGTATTAGAGATTCTTGTGGTGTTGTTTTGAGAGTGGGGTAAAACCCAGAGGGAGACAAGTTGTGGACAACACGGCTATACTAAGAGCAAAACCGCTTCTTATCCATGTCCGGGCGGTACGACGTAAGGGTTGTGTAAGCGCGAGCAGCCCTTCGCCGCACGGTGGACGTGGTGCTTTGCCTTCCGAAGGCGGAAGCCCTTCCGACCTCCTCTTCCTCGCCGGCGGCGGGATCTACTGTTAGGCTGCGTAGCGTAATATATAATTATACTTTTACTATATAAAGATTGATTATTATCTATATTACTATTTATCAAAAATATTTTTCTCTGTGGGGTGTTCTTAAGTTCTCTTAATTTGGAAGATTAAAAAGATAATATTTCTATTAAGAGATTTAAGATGATGCTGAGAATCAAGAGAGTTCCAACTGTTGTTTCTATTTACCAAAAGGAAGAGGCAGAGGAAGGCGGCTGTGGCAGGAATTGCCTGAGAAACTGTTGCCTTCCAGGTATCAATTGAATTTCTTCGATTATTTAATGGTTTTCCTTTTTTAATAAAATTTGGATTGTAATATTTACTGCATTTTCGAATTAATTAGGAGCAAAGCTGCCTCTGTATGCTTTCAAGAGGGTGAATAAGATTTCTTGTGATAGTGGTTTGGTTGACTTTGAGGATAAAGAGGCTCCCGTTGCCTTCTTGGACTCCCTTCTTCTTGGGGAGGTAATTTTTGTTTATTTTACCATATTCGTAAGTTGTTTTTAACCGAGGTCACGGTAGTTTTCTGAAATTATTGCTGCTTGATGATAGTGGGAGGATCGTATGCAGAGAGGCCTCTTTCGCTATGATGTCACTGCTTGCGAAACCAAGGTTTTCGTCATTCCATTTTTGGTTCTTAATTTGTAACAGGTTTCAATTCGAGGCCTTAACTGTAGTCTTGGTGGAATCAAGTGAATATAAAGAATTTTCTCGTGCTATGCTGTTTCATATAGGTGATTCCGGGGGAATATGGCTTTATTGCACAGCTGAATGAGGGCAGGCACCTTAAGAAGAGGCCGACTGAGTTTCGAGTTGATAAGGTATTGCAGCCGTTTGATGAGAACAAGTTCAACTTTACTAAGGTTGGGCAAGAGGAGGTGCTCTTCCAATTTGAACCAAGCTATGACGATGAAGTCAAGTTCTTGCCAAGCGCACCCATTGATGTGGAGAATTCACCTAGTGTCATTGCTATCAATGTAAGTTTCCTTTTGCTTGCTCTTCGTATGGTTTTTTGGTGAAATTTGGAGCAGTAGATTTAACCCTTGGTGTATATAACTTAACAGGTCAGTCCTATTGAATATGGACATGTGCTGTTGATCCCCCGGATTCTAGAATGCTTGCCTCAGAGGATTGACCATGAAAGCTTCTTGCTTGCTCTGTACATGGCTGCCGAAGCAGGGAATCCTTACTTCCGATTGGGCTACAATAGCTTAGGTGCATTTGCCACCATCAACCACCTTCACTTCCAGGTTCCAAACCATGACCATTTAAGTTGCTATCACTTGAATACTTGGTGGCATGTATCTAAAGTCTTGTTCATTATAGTCTTGATACGGCTTACAAAAATGCACTTACAATTAATAACTTCTTGGTAACTAAAAATAATATCTGTAATTGTCTTGCAACAGGCTTATTACTTGGCTGTGCCATTTCCTATTGAGAAAGCTCCCGCCAGGAAGATAACCACTACAAATAGCAAGGTGAAAATCTCTGACATTCTGAATTATCCCGTTAGAGGTCTTGTTTATGAGGGTGGAAAAACGCTGGAAGATTTATCCAATGTCGTCTCCTACTCTTGCATCTGCCTACAAGATAACAACATTCCTTACAATGTACTCATATCTGATTCAGGAAGGAGGATTTTCCTCTTCCCACAGGTAAATACTTTCCCGTTCAACATGAAATCATTTGCACTCCAGGTCCGTTTGTTTGATCTTTCACTTCTAATTGTGAATGTTGAATTTACCAACAGTGCTATGCGGAGAAACAGGCTCTTGGTGAAGTGAGTCCCGAGCTCCTCGACACTCAAGTTAATCCAGCGGTTTGGGAAATCAGTGGACATATGGTGTTGAAGAGGAAGAAGGACTACGAGGAGGCATCTGAAGGGAATGCTTGGAGGCTTCTTGCCGAGGTCTCCCTTTCTGAAGAGAGGCTCCAAGAAGTGAAGGATCTTATATTTGAAGCCATTGCTTGCAATATTGATGACGACAAAGGTGTCACTCCAACTTCGCTTGAGGGCTCAGATGTGACCACTCAATCTCTTGAAGACGCGGATGCCCTTACAGGCTCCCACCCTTCTATGGTCCCTGCCTAGCAGAGTGCTCGGTTCTGAACTGAGATTTGGGCTTCGAAGACCTGATCAGTGGTCTCTTCATATCATGTTTAATATTATTTCTGTGTGAAATGGGAGTTTCTATGGCCTCCCTCGTGGATATGCCTAATAATGCAAACTAGGTTTGC